GAGGAACTTCTTAAATGTAATCAGTGTGAAACAGCCTTCAGCCAAAATCCACTTATTCTGGTTTGCAAGAAAACTCACACTCAAGAGAAACTGTATAAATGCAATGATTGTGGAAAAGGCTTACTTTCCTCCTCACACCTTAGGGAATGTAAATGTATAAGAATTCATGTGGAGAGAGACCTTATGTTTTTAAGGAGCATGGGAAAGCCTTTTCTCATTCTGTAGGCCTTTTTGTACACATGCAAACTCAAAGAGGAGAAAAACCCTATGAATGTCAGAAAAGTGGGAAAGCTGTCACTCCATCTTCATATCTTACTCCACATTTAAGAGCTCACAGTAGAATGATGCCTATGGAATGTCAGAAGTTTGAGAAAGCTTTTGCTTATTCCTAAGGTCTTGCTAAACATGTAAGACTTAACAATAGAGGGAAACACTATGTTTGCAAGGAATGTAGCAAAGAGTTTGTTTCTCAAAACTTAACATTCACATGCAAGTTCACACTGGAGAAAAACCATATGAGTGTCATATAAATGTGGAAAAGCCTTCACTGATTGTTCGGGTCTTATAAAACAGAGGTGAACTCGCACTGGAGAAAAGCCTTATGAATGTAAGGAATGTAAAAAAGCCTTTGCCAGCTCCTCCCATCTTACTATACATATGAGAACTCATACTGGCGAGAAGCCTTATCAATGTAAGGAATGTGGAAAAGCCTTTAGTAATTCCTCTTGCTTTAAAAGTCACATGCAGACTCACCCTGGTGTAAAACCCTATGACTGTAAGCAGTGTGGGAAAGCCTTTATTCAATCCTCATTTTTTTTTTTTTTTTTTTTTTTTTTTTGCATGGGTGGCGCATGCCTGTGTGTCTACTCGGAGCTGAGGAGAAGGATTGCTTGATGCCCAGAGTTGAGGTTGCTGTGAGCTAGGCTGCGCTGGCGCTCACTCTCATGCCTGTGCAACAAATGGGACTCGTCTAAAAAAATACAAAAAAAATGTTTTGGAATTTTCTCCTAATATTACCCCCTTTTCCAGCATTCATCATAGATTGCATTATAAATTGGTGGGATGATTTTACATTTCCTCTGACTAGATTATACTAGGAGAGTCAAGCCCACGGTCTAGTATTTTCACTATTCTCTGCTATTGATTTGATATTTGTGTCCCTTCTTAAATTTTCATGATGAAACTTAATTCCAGTGCAACCAGAGCCTGTTGAGACGTGATTAAGTTATGGGCTCGCGGTCTCATGAATAATGAGTGCTCTCATAAAGGCGCTGATAGGGAACTCGCTCGTCCCCCTTTGCTTCCATCTCTTCCCATGGTGGTGGAACACGTGTTCAAGGTAGTCTCATTGAAGCCGAAGACTGAGGCTTCACCAGACACCTGAACCTGCTAGTACCTTGATTCTAGTTACCTGCCTCCGAGGAACTTGTCTGGAGAAATAAATTTCTTAATTTATAATTACCCACGTCTCAGTACTTTTTGGTAACATGCAAGTGGTACTAGATAATCCGTTGCAATCCTTAGCACAGTACTTGGTAGCGTACTAAATGCGTATTATATCTGTATAAAAAATAACAACAACTAATTTTAATCTTATCTCCTACATACCTATCACATCATTACTTCTTTTTTTCATAACTATAACCCAATTCATAGGGCTACATATTCATTTTTAAACTGTATAATAGGCTCCTATTTTGACTCAACCTCTAAAATCTACTCTCAAACTAGAGTACTTTTAGTTAAGTCACAAGTTGATCACATCACTCTACCTACTGTAAGAACATGTTCATGGCTTTCTGCGGTGTGGCCTTAAGAATACAGCCCAATTTCATTCATCTAGTGCCTGCCCTCCATCATCTTACTTTTTTCTCAAACTATCTTTCTTGGTTCAACAACTGAGACTGTTCACTTGTTCCGTGTGGCTTTCAACTGGAGTCGCTACCCAGAAATGTGCATCATGTACTCTAAGTAACCTCAACTCAGCCCAATCTTTGATAGTTCATTCTTGTCAGCTTTAGTTCTACTTAACATATTCAGTTCTTCTCAAAAAGTCTTCATTTGTTCCTTTTAATAAACCCCTATACATACTTGCCATTATTCACTTAAATCTGTCTCAAATTAGACTGTTAAACTCCATGGCAAGATTCGTCCATGGATATCTTATGTAGCCGATCATATAACCTGTAATTGGCTTAGTACATGCTCCTGAAGGCAGCCAATGATTCTTCTTTGCAAATGACAAAGCTCGTATATACCTCAGATTGCATATATCTCAATAAGTACTTAAAATAAACAATTAAATTAATGAGAAATATATAAGTATCTGCTAATAATCAAATAAACCACATATACTTTAAAATACTTTACATATTAAATCACACTTTTGGAAAAGAGCGCTTAGAGTAAAACTAAAATTCCTTGTTGGCCGTGGTGGTGGTCCACTTATCCTAGCACTCTGGGGCCAGGGCCCGGGTGGGCGTTGAGCTCAGAGTCAGTGAGCTCGGGTATCAAAACCAGCCCTGAGCCAAGACCGAGATTCCGTGTCTCTACTAAAATGAAAGAATTATTGGAAGCTAAAATATATAGAAAAAAGTATCCGTACATCGGTGGCGATGCCATAGTCCAAGCTTACTGGAGAGCTGGACGAGTCTCTTGACGCGCGCGTTTGAGGTTGCTGTGAGCTAGGCTGACGCCATGTATCTAGCCTGCGGCAAAAAGTGAACTGTGTCTCAAAAAAAAAAAAAATCTTGTTATTTTCCTTGGAATTATTTTATCACTCAAAAAAAAAATCACTCAGAGGGAATTTTTTGGATCATATAGCAAAATTATATTTGCATTTAGTCTTTTTTTCTGTTAGTCTTACTTGGAGGTTCCATCTAAAATCATCCCAAAGTCATTCCAAAATTACAAACCTATTCTACAAATTTGATACAATGTAGATTTCTAGAGTTGATCTACTATTCTTTTTTTTTTTTGAGACAGAGTCTTATTTGTTGCCCAGGCTAGATGAGTTGCCTTGGCATCAGCCTAGTCCAGCAACCTCGAAACTCCTGGCTCAGCGTTCTACTGCCTCAGCTCCAGTGCTGGGATTACAGGATGCACCCCTGGCTCGGCGATTTATTTCATATATATATTAGTTGGCCATTCTTTTCTATTTTAGTAGAGATGGGCTCTCTTGCTCAGTTGGTTTCGAACTCTGACCTCGAGAAATCAGCCACCTCAGTCTCCCAGAGTGGCTAAGATTACATGATCTGTCCTATTCTTAACACAGCCACATAAGCTACAAACCATCTTTAAAAAAAAACACAGAATTAAAACTGGATATAACCTAATAATAGCTTTTCCAAGAAAAAGAAATTGTTTTCTGTTGAGTAAGTGCGGTGGAAGGAATGGCTGGATAAGAATGAGAAGAAATCATCTTAATTCTACAAAGTTTAACAGTGGATAATGGCTGATACACAAATTACAGATGTCTCAGCCACAGAATTCATAGGATATGATTGTGTGTAGAGTTGCAGTGATCTGTATCCATCCACAGACTCTTTCTCATAAGTTTCCGACATTACCACCAGTATATAAAAAATAGGTAGGGGGGAGGGGGAAAGATGGGCATTTATGAAACCTAAATCTGACCCCAATATAGCAAAAAAAACAAAAAAAAAACAAAAACTAAGGTCAGCACAGAATCACTGAGGGCTCAGCCTCCCTATGCCAAGCGCATCCTAAAAGGCAAGGAGCAGCGGAAGAGAGTGAGAGAACCATTCCATTTAAGTTTCACCAATGATTATTCTATATAATGGGAGAAGAAGAGACATATATTATTGTCAGTGCTACCCCAGAAAATGCCAGCTTGATTTTCAATGTAAACCAATTTAACTTCCACATTATTAGCTGACCAGAAGAAGGATTAACTAATATCTGATGTAGAAGAATTGGAAATTCCATGTAATTCATAATTTTTTAAAAAGAAAACTCAGTAAGCCTAAAAGTTCAACCTGATAAGGGATTATTTTTATTTATTTTTTTTTTTGAGGACAGGTTCTGGCTTTGTTGCTAGGTCGATGAGTGCCGTGGTCAGCCTAGCTCACACGCACCTCAAACTCTGGGCTCAGCGTCTTCTGTCTCGGCTCCCAAGTGCTGGGACTACAGGCATTGCAACCATGCTCCGGCTTTTTTCTGTATTATTGTTGGAATTAGTTTCTTTTTTATAGTAGAGACGGAGTCTCGCTCTTGCTCAGGCTGTTTGTCCTGATCCTCGAGCAATCCGCCGCCTCGGCCTTCCAGAAGCTAGGTTACGCGTGAGCCACGCGCGTCCGGCGAAAAGGATTATAAAGAAAATACTTTTAAGTGACAAAAATTGACTTCATTTTTAATGTATTATACATGAATACAAACCACATTGAAAGATGAAATAATCTAAATAATTGGAAAATCTTAAAATATATACCAAGCCTAAAGTAAAACTGCTGGGGATAGTGGCTCATGCTTATATTCTTAGCATTTGGCGAGCAAGATGGGGAGGACTGCTTGGGCCGCAGTTAGGACTGCTGGGCTGCAAGATCCCATCTCTACGAAAAATAAAATATTAGCTGCGCATTATGGCAAACCTGTATAGCTATCTATGTGCAGCTGAGGCAGAAAGATCAATTAGCCAGGGATATGGACTGCAGTGAGCGTATGATGATGCCAATGCACTCCTGCTGGGTACCAGAGCAGGACCCTGTCTTCAAAAAAAATAAAAGAAACGTATAAAATAACTCAGTAATATTTGGTTTCCCAGGTATAATATCAATCAAACTTTTTATTATTCCATGATTCATAAGTAACATGTTTAAAGGATAGTCAGCAGATGGCAGAGTAGAAGCCTAGGAGCTCTCTAGTTCATCCATGGAAACACTAGATGAACAGTGTTATAAAATATATAATAATAATCTGGACCAAAATATTGAAAAAATCCGGATTCAGTAACTAGAGCACCCCTGAGAGACACTGAGCACAGTTGCATGTTATATGGGTACAACATTCAGCGTTACTGCATCCAGTCCTCCCCCAAGAAACAACAGCATGCTCAGTGCCAAGAAATGTGTGGTATGATTCTCAATAAGGGAGAGAAGGAAGTGGGAGCTAAGATTTATGACTTCTCAGGGGCCAGATTTCACCTCATGATTGCGCATCTTGACAACTGAAAGAGCTCAGTCCCCTGGACCAGATCAACAAAGAAAGAGCAGGCATTGTCTACAGCTGCATGTTCTGTATGACTGAGAGAAGTGCAGAACTGGTTCTCTCTCCAGGAGGAGGAAGGAAGTAAAAGGCAACTTCACCAGCCTTATGGTACACACTCGCTGAGAGTCAGTAATTCATATGAAGTATTGCGTATGGGGTGAGGTCGTTTCCAGTCAAGACATCATGAGACTACGAACGTAGCTGCTACTTCAAATAACAAAGTAACTTATAAGAACTGAGATCAAGAAAAAAAAAAAATACAGACAATAAATCAGAAAAAATAATTTGTGATTCGGTAAAATTCAAAATACTGTATCCTGAAATGTGTGGGGAGTAAAAACAAAGGATACACTAATGAATGAGGACGAACTATGAAATGGAAATTCACACAGAGAGAACTGAAAAATTACAGTAGTAAAGAAATACAATAACAGCTGAATTCCATTTTTTCC